CATATCTAGTGATGATTGCAATGACCTTCAAGTAATATGCGATTTACCATAAAATAAATAAAAGTGATAACACTATCTTTGACATTTATTAAAACCAAAGACTATCATTACAGGGTTCAATGTAAGAGCTAACTGTTGTCAAGCACTTTGAAATATACATAAATCTACGGATAATTAACTGTAACAGGCATAAAGTGTTTTGGCATTAATTCTATGGTCGGTATCAAAAATTCTCTTTTAACATGTCCATGAAGATGACTATAGTCAAATTTCAAAACTATCGCGGTACATTTTCTATGTTCCTCTAAAGTATAAATAATTGTTGTCTGAAATTTATTTCCGCATATTTAATATTCTCGTATAAAAATAGTAATTGACTAAAGAAACATTTTTAATAGTTGAATTCATGGGTCAATTTAAACTTGACCACCATGGAAAACCTAGAAGCACTGGATGGTCGTTTCGTCCAAGTATGGGGCTCCTTAGCAATGCGCGTATACAGAAAACTATTTCTTTTCAGTTAATTCTAGATCAAGTCTCTTCACAAATATATGATTTTTACGTTTAAGAATATAAATAATACGAAATAAATGGTAGTTGTTCAATTTTATAAAACAGTAACGGGTTAGCAACTCACCAGGTTTAAACTTATATCTAAAGATAAAATTATATAATCAGTTAATTGCAACAACTTGTTACGTAAGAACCAGAATTTGGCAATGTATCTTTGTAATGACTTAGCATTATTAATCAATCACTTTGGTAACCGTTATTATATAAATCCCAACAGTGTTTGAAATCAGATGGTAATAAGAAGTGGTGACTACAGTTTATGAGCGGATAGCACAAATCACAAAGCTACAAGCATCTCAAGTGAGTTTAAAGCAGATAAGCGAATGTGAGTATGCGAGCAAATACAGAGGCAAATTTATAGTCAGATCAAATAAGACGCAGCTAGGTGAGGCAAAGGCTAATAATGGGATTCGAGTACATATATTTACATGGAGGACAGAATGAATCATCGAGTGATGTTTGAGAGATTAACATTTTAGCTACAGAGACATGTGAATAGGCTCTTACATGTAATAAAGAGTACATACTTATACAGACAAGATAGTGATCATAATTGTACAAAGAAATATGAGAATTGTTACTATTCGAATAACATTGTCTATTAAGTTAATAAAAAGGGATTAACAAAATTTAACCATAATCGAAATTGATTGTACGAAAGTTGCTATATTTTCATCGGTCTTGAAGATCATCAGTTTGAATTATTTAATTTTAATCATTATATCTTTAGATTCACTTGGTATTGTTTGCTTAATCTTCCCATTGTTATTTAGGACGGCAAATGATCAGTCTCTTATTGGCATATGTGCATATTGTGCGGATTGCTTCGATATTGCCTTAATTTTACCAGCATTATAAGCAAAGATGGATGGTGACTAGAAATGAAATCCAGTTTGACGCGCGTTTCGTCCTGTTTGGTATTCGTCAGCTGTACTAGTTCCCAGAGTGAACATCAACACTGAGATTCAGGTAAATCCAGCTGACGAGTCCTAAATAGAACGAAACGCTCGTCCTGGATTCTACTGATGACCACAATACGTCTTTGATTATTTTTTTTAATTTATGCGTTTTTAACGTGTTTTTTAAAAATTGAAAGTGAACCCCTAAGCACATGAAGACCATAAGAATCAAAACAAATCGGTACTTTTATGCTCATTTTTACTGTCAATTCAAATGATAACCCACAAACAATATCAACAAATTATTATGCTTAATCGTGACTGGATAAAAATAAAATAGAAATCTACACTATTGTATTTTCGTTCATTGGTAAGAACCTTTAACGATCACGAATAACACTTTCACGTTTTGTGCTACTTCTTGTTTAACTATGTACTGATGATGAGTTCAAGATCAGAATGAAACAATCAGATTCTGTGCTTCTCAAATATTGAGTTCTATTTTTGATAATTTTATTTTAAAACAAAAATAATTTTTTGTAGCATTACCTAATCTTCGTCAGAATACTCTGCCTAGAGCCCCTCTGGGACTACTGTCGGCCCGAAGCCCAGACAAAGGAGGAGGGATTGGCATAGGATTAGTGACCCCATCCGCAGAAAAATAACTCTCTAAAAAACGACAATCAGACAAAGTGATTAAAATCATTTTTACTCTGCCCTGGGAGCTAGAAGTTTTTCACTAAAAGAAGAGTTATAACGTCTCTTGATGAAAGCCGAGTTCTTTTGGAATTCACGAGGCTGATGCCCCTTCTGACAACCAGAGCAACCATTAATTTAGTTACCTAAGTTAAATTATTGATTGTTTATTTGTGTTCATTTAATTCGTTATGAATTAGAGGAAAAAACAAATAGGAATATTCTTCCCACATTTCCATCACGATTTCAGAATGCAACAAAACATAACTGTTCTACTCATGAGATTAATTCAGTAGTATCGTTAATGAAAACGGATTTATGTTCACACAGAAAATGTTTATGGTAATGGTTTCCAAATAATTTGTGTATTCATAAACACAACTAGATGCGACATTTCTATAATTAAATAGCTTAAGACATTGTGTTATTAGATTTATCAACTATCCCCTTACCTTCCAAAGTCACATTATTAATAAGTCCATAGATAATTAATAAATAACCAAGACGGTATGCTTTTATATCTGGGTTACCTGTTCCTACCGTCTAGATATTTAAACCAGTTATCTGTTTTCTTGTTTGTTTTAACACATCATTATGCTTATTTAGTCGTATAATCTATTCAGGTGCGTTTGTGAAAAGTTTACATCATTTCACTGTACAAGTTACAATAGAGCCTAATCAGAGGAACATCTATTTTAACTGTACCTAATAACATATCCTGAATCTTCTTTTATTATTTATGATTCTACATTCTGTTTCAAGTACCCATCTCAACTTTATTGATTAAAGTATCTAAACCTTTATTCCCTTTGTAAGTAATAACTAGTTGTAATTGATATGAAACATCAAAAATAGTGGGAACTCATCTAATTATTATTGAATTATTCAAAGATATTTTATAGATTTGTATTTTCACCCAATTCAATTCCAATTCCCACTGCTAATATCAACAATATGTTATTTATTGAATTCATGGCTATTTCCAAACAACTTGAACCGATGCAAATATGTGCCTGGTTCTACGTTGTAGTTGACTGACTTATTCAATACAAAACTGCACAAAGACCTTATCATCAGTAGTTACTTAATTAACAAACTGAAATATTTAGAACACCATTATCTCTCCCTTTGCCTTAATAAATGATTTCATTTATCATTATTCTCCATACACTCTATTCGTTTATTTTTCTTCACACTCTCCTACCCTTTCAGTTTTTTCTTTCAAATGTACGTTTCATTGTCCAATTATCTGAACACTTCTTATTGCGTAATCTTATAATTTATATATATATATATATATATATATATATATATATATTTAATGATTGACTTATTTCCCATTATATACCATTGATTCAAGCCTTTATTATTCATATCACAACTAGTAAACCTGTCATCACAATACCGATTTGTACTTTCCACTTATTTATGTAATCTATTCCATTGTTATTATTAACTGATAAACTGACTTGACTGATTTAATAATTTCGTATATTAGAGTAAAGCCTGATGAGGATCTAACAGAAAACAATATTGTTTACTTACATATGTTGTTCTAAATCACAATATGGGAATTTTTCAAACTGACATATGTTTCAATGAGAAACAGTGTCATTATATTGTATTGCTTTCAAAAAAACAATTATATTTATAATGAGTACATAGGTTTGTATAGATTGTTTACACAGTTCATATTCCACAGATTGAAATCATGAGTTAATTAAAGCTAGACCATCATGGAAGACCTGGAAGCACTGGAAGGCTGTTTCGTCCTAGTATGGGACTTCTCAGTAGTGCGCATCCACGATCCCGCACCCCATGAGATTCGAACCCAGGGCCTATCAGTCTCGCTCCAGGCGCTTAACCAACTAGACCACTGAGCCGTCATCCAACGGTGTTAATGTCTAACTTTAACCAATCCACGAAATCACTCCACTGTACACCATTGTGTTCAGTGAGCTAATATCTCACAACAGACCTGGTTGAACTCCACTGGTAACGGCTTCTCACTAGAACTTCAGGAGTATCTCTTGAAGTCAATCACTAGTGAGCAGATTATTGTTATCAGAAAGGGTTTGTGGAGATTTTAAAAATTTCACATATTGAAATCATGAGTCAACTGAAGCTAGATCACCATAGCTCAGTGGTCTATTTGGCTAAAAATCCGAAACCATTAAACAGCTATTTTTCTTCTTAATACAAAACTCTTAATCCGTATCTTTTCACGATCTCATCAACAACTGAATCCAGAGGGAAGTTCAGTTTCCCAGAGAATGTATAACCTGGATAAATTGTTCTAAGGAACCTTATACTTAGACAAAAAAACAGGCTTTTTATGACCATCTTATCAAGATCAGATCAACATTTAAACTGTCATAATCATATTTGTTTTTTGTTGTTGTTGTAAAGATCATAAGAAAGATTAGTTCAGCGAAGAGTTCTCTTTTCGGCGAATTCATTTTCAAAGCTTTACAATCACAAATATTTTTACAGGATGATAATAATACTGAAAACAAGTATAATAATAATAACAAGTATATATATATATATATATATTTGCAATTGTATAGCTCTGAAAATGAATTCGCCGAAATGAGAACTCTTCGCTGAACTAATCTTTCTTATTTAATGTCTGAATAGGTGTATTTAATTTACCGATTAAAATCATGAGTCAATTGAAGTTAGATCACCATGGAAAACTTAGAAGCACTGAATAGCTATTTCGTCCTAGTATGGGACTCCTCAACAGTGCGCATCTATTTAGTAAAAATAATAAATAAACAAATATAAAATAATCTAAAACATTAATCAGTAATATTTATTAAAACTTACTAATTTTCATTGATTGTAATTGAATTGTAAACAGAACAATGAATGTCAGCATAGAAATCATACTAATCAACGTGTATTTCATATTAAATTATGTTCAAGCTTTTTGTTTTGAAATAATTAAAATGATTAAATTATTTATATATATTTATTGTATGAGAAAAAAGGAAACAATAAGCAGCTTCGTTTAGTCTCAATTGATAAAGATTTCAGTAGTATGTTGTTATGGTTGTTTGTTTGTTTGCTTTGTGTGTGTGTGTATGTGTGTGTGTGAGAGAATAAAATTCATTTTATGATCAAGTTTTTATACTTAAACAAATCAGTTTGTGTAAATGTTATTTGCCTCAAATATAAACTGACCAATGAGAAAGAGAAGAAGAAGAAATGGTTTGGAAAAAGACATTTTTTAAATCGTTTAAAGGACTCAAACATTACTGTCAGTCAGTTTGCCTACGCCTGTGAATAACTAATCAGAGGATCATAGTATGAAGTGCACAGGATTAGTTGATATGATGTATTACATGTCGTTTCTTGTTTTTTTTTCCCTTTTTTGAAAATGGTTCTTTTTCGGTTCTAAGGATAATATCATTGGAAGATTGAGAAATAAAAGATCTCAGTTGAGAAGGTAAAAAGAGAGATACAGGAAAAGTGGCTTATAACTTTTTAAAAACCTTGGCATAAGTGAAGCATTTACACAATTTAATTTGTGGCGTTTAATATTTTATGAAGAGTTTTCTTTCAATATATAACTTCCATTGATGTATCGAATATTGATTAAGGGTTCGAAATTTCTTGAACTGCTCTATCATCCTTCTGTCTACAACAGAAGTCAAAAGTAAGAATTATAGCAGGAGTATAGCATCTAGATTCATGAAGCTTTCTTTAACATAGATTGCATCATATCAAGTAATTTAACACGGCGTATGCCTTAGGAGTTGGTATGTTGTGTAATTTGTCTTGTGTACTATCTTAAATTCAGTTTCAACAGCATAATATAGACATTTTTGTTGAGAACTGCTGATTCTGGTAAAAACAATTGGTCTTATTAAATGTGAAATTGTAGGTAATTTTATGATATTTGTAGCGATGATAGTATAGACAATCTTTTCCAATGAATGTTATCATATTTTTAACGATAGATGAAAATTCATTTGGTATTGTTTACTTGAATGTTCCCATTGTTTTGTAAGGCTGCAGTTGATCAGTCTTTTGTTAGCATATGTACATACTGCTTCCATATTGTCTTAAGCTACTAGCTTTATAAGTAAAGATGGATAGTGGCTAGTAGTGAAATCCAGGACACAAGTTTCGTCATATTTCAGACTCGTTAGCTGGATGTACCTACATCTCAGAGTTGATGTTCTCTCTGGGACTCGGATCCAGTACCGTTCATTTCAAACGCCATTGCGTTATCCACTTAGCTACTGAGTCCTGATAGCCACCTGCTTGTACAATGTTCCGGAGTGAACATCAACTCCAGGATGCAGGTGAATCCAGCTAATGAGTCCTGAGTAGGACGAAACGCGCGTCCTCGATTTCACTATTAACAACTAACCATCTTTGCTTATAAAACTTGTGACTGTGAATTAATATCGGTTGAGGTATTGTTAATAATGAGATGAAAGTCGACAATTATTTCCTTCTAATATAAGATAACTAAACCATTCTCACCAATGAATTCACCTGTAACTGAACCCAAGACCTATGGATCTTGTATCTATAGCATTACCATTAAACCACCAAATGAGAGTTTAAAGACTCATTTTTGTAAAAGAATCATCACTAAATAAATAAAATGAGGTTTAGACGACTTTGATTCCTTCTTACTGTACATAGTAACTCTGCTGATTTTCAGTAAGAAACTTTGCATCAGACTATACTTTCTGGACATTACAACTTAATTCTTAACTCATTAGCCGTTGAAATCGTATCTTTTAAACTCTCCTAAAGTTATCAATTTCATATGTCATTAAAATCAATCCTGATTACGTTCCTAACAAGAGAAATGAATAATTCAAACGAGCATCCTCCATTAACCTTTACCAGTGAAATATTTTCTATTTATAGGTCGCCTTATTAATATTGACAAGAATTGACTAGAAAACGTTTGATTTCGTTATCAAGATTGCTTCAGCGGTTATTAAATAAATAATCCATATGACTTATCTAATAGTTTTGTCTTAAATTTAACTATAAGTAACATTAAATAAAATTGAAAATGTCAAAGTGTTAGGTTTGAAGCTAACACGAGTTCACTTGATCTGCGAACGAGAACAAAGACTCAGTGACCGAGACCAGTAAGCTAGCATTTGATGCGTCCCAGCCCCGCTAACTAGAGGGAGAAGTCCAATCTTGGAATGGGAAAGTATATTCTGCAAACAGCCAGAAACGAGTGATAACAACAAACATAATTCAAAACGTATATATACAGTGCAAAACCGTCCTTGAGGAGAGTTACCAAAGAGCATACTGAAAAACGCAACGGAGCAATAGCATTTAAGATATTTCCCAGTGGGAAATACGACATGAAGGTTACAAGAGCGCCTCTGGCGCGAAAACAAAGAAATTCAAATTTTCTAAATAAAATTAAAAAATTAGGTGGTTTCTCAAGTGATTTCTGGGGATCTAACGTCCTTAACACAAAAAGATGTTTCAATCATGTTGAAACGTTCTTTTTCTGGTATTATTACTTTCAAACGGTTTATCTAAAACCGATCTCATACTGAATATCGGTAAGAATAGAATTTGTGGACGAACCAGTCAGTTCTAGGATTATGAATCTTGGATTCTGGTACAAAATTCATTCATCTATATGGCTGAATAGTATTTCAACACTATAGATCATATCAGTTTGCGATGAAAACTCTAGCTCTAATTCTCAATCCTAACTTGTAACTTTGAATCGCGATCATGAATTCTCACGCTAATTTTTAACTCTCTATAGATCTTAGTTGATTGGAGAATATTTTCAAGGTCACTTTGACGTCGCTCAAGCATCATTAATAAATCAGAGTCTCACTTTGAATGCTGGTAATAGTTTCAACTATCAAATTAGGTGCCATAATCTAAAATCTTTGACAGAGTATTATTTTTTATCGAATTGCTGATGGCTGCCACCTTACACTAAATATAATTCTAGCAATTTCTACCAAGTATCTTCAACCAAATGATTTTTTCTGGTTAGTGTTTTTCTTCAGCAAAGTTACTTTATACTTGATGGGGTTACTGATCCCATGCGTAACCCTCTTCCTTTGTTTGAGCTTGGGACCGGCAATAATCCTAGAAGAGCTACAGGCGGATATCATAGGCAACAATATACTATGGGAGAGGACTTACCGACTTCCAGTTGAAAATGAAATTAAGGAACGACTCTGAAGTTTGATATGACATACTTGCGGAAATCATCAAACTGAATCACGAGGCAAACTATGAGGTGGAATCCTGAAGGCAAATGGAAAAGAAAAAGACACAACAACACACTGCGTCTGGAATTTGAGACAGACATAAAAAAATGAACAGCACCTGGAAACAACTGGAAATGAGAGCCCAGAATAGATTTGATTAGAAAATCCTGATCGGCGTAAATAAGTAAAGTAATTGGGTAAATTGACCAACAGATTAAACTGATCAAGTTCCCTTTTTGAATTATGTTTTTAACACAAAACTGTGAGGACGGTCCATGGATGAACTCGAGGAAGCTGTAAGAAACTCAGAAAGGGCTGAAGATATTCCATCCAATCACCTTTCGGAAGAATATTCTAGAATCCTTGCGTGTAGCTTCCCAATTGGACAATGCTAACCCTCGGTATGCGGATTGGAGGACTGTAATGATGATTTCGTTTCTTACTAAAAACTATAAATACCTGACAATTTTGTACTATAATTGACACTGTCTGGAATAATATTCCTTTCACTTGTCTTCTGTCTCCTCATTGCGATTTGGAAAGGTTCTAGTGATCAAGGTATACACGGTATATCAAGAATATAAGCATCTAGATATAACAAAAACCTCAAATTTTAAAACTGATTAGATTTTTTATGTCCGAAATAGATTAGAATTTACCTGAATTAAGAAATATCCAACCATCTGTATTTCACTACTTACTTCTTATGTACCTTAAGGAAAATATCCGGAATCATAATGTTTATCAATCTCAAAATAGGTATAAGTATACTTTATTGAATCGAAATAAATAAATTGTTGTTACCAGTGAAATTCATAATGAAAGTGCTACCCTATTTTAGACTAACCAACTATAAATACATCTAAATACCTAAACGATGTTTCCATTCTGTACGAATTACTTCAATAAAACTAATGAGAAAACTAACAATTGGATACTAATACATCAAATGAAAAAGCAGTTTCTATTACTCCCCTACGAATCACTATCTATCTATTTTCACAATAGGATGAAACGGCTGTCTAATGCTTCCAGGTTTTCCATGGTGGTCTAACTTCAATTGATTCATGATGTCAACTATTGACATTACTACAATCTCCACAAAACCCCTTCTAATACTACTAAAACAATTTTGTAAAAAAGCACAACAAAAATTGGCTACATCATGACAAAATTTTCAGGATACAAATAAGTCAATTTAAGACAGTTCAAATCCTTCGTCCATCATGTCAACAAAAGGATAATTCAAACTCATGCTAATAATGACATAAATTTCTGTATTTGTCATGACCTTGGTAACATAATATTAATTTCAGTTGACATGAAATAGAATTATTAAACTATTATGAATTAATCATTTAAATGACAACTATTCTAGGAAAATAAGTAAGAAGGACATTCACTATTAAATGGTGTCATATATAACTTAGAATTGAATAAGAAGACAAATTGTCAAAATTGTCCAAAATAATTTGAACAAATATACATTCTCAGAAGATTTAATATTAATTATAGGGGTTTGTAGAGATTGTTACTAGTGAGACAATTATTGAAACCAGGCAACAATGGACAATTAATTCATTTAAGACTTTACAGTAATGAGTATTCACCATCTAATTAGGAGTTAAACTTAGAATGTTGAAGTCTAATG